TAATAATTATGAAATCCAAAACAAAAAGCTCCAAAACTATTTCTCACATTAGTAGAATTAGTTGTAATGAGACTCCAAGCTGAAGAGAGAGAACACTCGCCATTAGAATTCAGATTCCAAATAATTTTATCATCTTCATTGTTGATAGTGATTGTAGCTTCTTTAGCTAAATCCCTAATAAACTATCAAAACACCAATTACCATGAGCACCCACGACTTGATTCAAAAAGAAGTCTTGAACACTGTCATCATTCAAATACTGAAACAGAGGACCTGAACCTGCCCAATTATCATACTAAAAGGAGACCTCCCCTTTTCCTATTAACCATTGACAACGAAATAAGGCTATATCTTTGAGCTCAATCATGCATTTCCAAAATTTTGAACTACATCTTGAAGTAGAGAGAATAGCAAAGGGAGTAGTTTTTACATACTTGGAGCATGTGAATTCAGCCTTCTTTGAATGAGTTTAAACCAAGCTTTAAGGATAAAAGCCTTAAAGACATCAAATAGAGAACGAATGCCAAGGCCTCCCCCTCTTTAATAGGCTTGCATATTTGAGGCCAACCAATCCAATGCAACCTGTTGCCATGATCAGAAGCTCCCCACAAAAAATTGGCAAAAAGAGTGTGAATTCTATTAATGACAGCTTTAGGAGGAGAAATAACACTAAGCACATGAATTGGCATAGATTGAAGAACATGTCTAATGAGAATCAGTCGGCCACCCAAAGATAAAAGTTTTGCTTTCCACTCTTCATTTTTCTTTTGAATCTTCATCACAATTGGTTCAAAGTCAACTAAGTAAAAGGAAGTTGTTTGTGTTTAAAGCCAATGACATGTTTAATCATATTAACTTTAGCAATATTCATACTTTGGATGAACTATAAAGAAAGACTTCTCTTTACTTATCCTTTGGCTAGAAGCTTTCTCATAAGCTGAGAAAAAAGACATCAAATTCTTTAGACAATGTTTCTCACCTCTAGCAAAAATCATAGTGTCATCTGCAAAGAAGCTATGAGAGATAGGCATGCACCCTTTTGGAAGAGAAAAATAAAGCGCGTAGCCATTTGTGTAAATTGAAGTAAGGCCTCTGCTTAGAACCTCCTCAATAAGAATAAAAAGACTACGAGACAAAGGATCATCTTGCCTCAAACCTCTAGTAAATTGAAAGTACCCTATAGGAGACCCATTGATCAAGACCGAGAACCAACAATTACACATACAAAGGCGAATTAAATCAATCCATATATTGCTGAATCCAAATTTGTAAAGAGTAGTAAATATAAAATTCTAGTCCATCCTGTCATAGGCTTTTTCCATATCAAGCTTAATCATAACATTACCACCCCTTGCCTTGTTCTATAGAAATTAGTTTTGGGAAGAATAGTGGAAAGCCTATTTGTCAAAATTTTTGCAAAAATTATAGTGGAAGTATAATATTTAGGGAGAATCTCTCTTATGGCATTACAAACATCTCCACCCACGATATCCTAACACTGAGAAAAGAAACTCCCATCAAAGCCATCCGGTCCAGGTGCACTCTCATGATTCATTGAAAAAACCGGAACTCGTGTAAGAAATAAGTTATCATCCAGTGAGGGAATGGTTTCAAACAAATACTCATGTACTTCACAACCTTTCATCGGTTAAGATATTCTGAAAGAATTCCACAGCTTTCTCTTTGATAGTAGTAGATCAACCCAAATACGATTAATCATGGAAAAGTTATTTTGAACTTTAATAGAGGAGTGAAAGTACTTGTATTTTGGTCTCCACTACGAAGCCATTTTTCGCGAGATTTCTGACGAAGGAAAACCTCTTCTTGTGCCAATGTTTGATGGAGGTGTTCATTTCATTAGCAGCACGAGGACGACTTTGATTGATCTCGGAATTATTATTTTCAACAGCCATTTCAGCATCTGTGACTTGTTGCTCCGCCAGCAAAACATTCTCAGAAACATCACCAAATGTTGATTCACTCCATTGCTTCAATTGGTTCTTCAAATATTTTAATTTTTCAGCTAGAATAAACAAACGACTTTCTGTGACGGAATAGTTCCAACTTTCTTTAACCACATACAGAAAATCGGGATGAAGAAGCCACAATTTTTGAAATTTAAATGGTCTGGGCCCACTGGCTGAAGCATTTTTTTATGGTTACTAGCAATGGTCTTTTCGCGCAAAGATGAATAGAAAAAAAACGCAAAAGCTTTATTTGGAGCTTCTTGAAAATCGCCATTTTAAACTTTTCACGTCTTTTTGATACATTAGCTTTTGACGATTAGATCTATCACAAACCAAACGGGAAAAGACCGAATCGTGGTTTTCCGAGCTTGTAAATAGCTGGCAGGCAACGCAGAAGAGTACGCCAAACGGGGCCTTACTTTTCTCATGGTTTGTCTTCTTGGCAAAAAACAATGAAATGAGATGGAGAATAATTAAAGAGGTAGGGCTTGGAGAGAAATAGGGCAGGAGGTTTTGGTTCTATTATGGCTTTTTTTATGAAAGAAAATAAACAATATCTTCTTTTTAATTTTCAGAGTTAAGTGGAGGAACATTACAGGTTTAGAGAACGGTCCTTGACATTTTAATGGGATTTTTTTGTTTTTTATTTGAGGGGGCCAAGGACCAACTTTATTATTGTCCATCGTTGCCTCCAACTACTAACTATACAATGCCTATTCGTTTTAACAAAATGTTTGTGGGGTGTGGGGTGGGTCAGTTATTATTTTATTTACTGTTCAAATATCGAAAGTTATTTATTATAAATTTCTATTTTATAGATATTTGTACCTTTTTATCATTCTAATTTAAGTATATTATATGTTATTTTTACCAATATATTATGCCTTTATCCTTTTAAAACCTTGATAGAATTAAATAGTCCTATATTTAACTTTTTATTTTATAAAATTCATAAAAATCACAAAATTTTAAAGGGATTGAAAAATAATTTAGGAAATTTGATGTGGACAATTGCATTTTAATATATAATACATGTCTGTGGATAATTTGGGTTTGGACACACAGACATCCCATAAACAGTCTACCCAACCCAATGGCTTAAAAGATCAGGCACCATATGCATATCCCTCCCCAATTAGGAGGGGAAATCACCTCTCTTTTCATCGTATACCTATTTTAATCACTATTAACTAAGGTGTCATTTTTTGTTGGGAGCATATTTTTGTGGGTAAATATGCATTGGTCAATGTTCGCAAGAAAATGTTTTTACTCTATTATCACTTTATCGCTTTCAATGTTTTAAAAACTAATCCAAAGGCTGAATTGTTTGTTTTTGGGTTATGGGTCACTGGTTCGATTGTCTGGGTTGAACGAGTCAGATCGTACAACTCGCGACCTGGTGACCATATCAAATAGATCAATGGTTCAACAACTCAGGTCAAACAATTTTCGAACAAATCAACAATTTTTAATCAAGTGGTGGGGTTTCATGCAAGCCAGACCCAAAATCTTAAATGGTTCAAACAGTTCAACTGATCAAATAAATGGCGAAAGGTAGAGATATTTAGTCTCATAACACTTTGGATAACTTCCTACTCCATGGGAATATACATGTCGGCAAAAGGTAACACTAAGGCCCAAATCGCTTTTCGATAAGTTATTGATTTGGGTAATTACATTTACCCATATTTTTTTTATTTCCCTTTTTAACCATAAAAAGTCATTATTAAAATAGGCAAATTTGCCCCAAATTCCCCTAGGTGGGAAAATAAATACCCATCAAAAATAAATTTTCCATAGATTCCACATGAATCTAAAAAAACAAAACATGGATTTTATGTCAATGAAAACCAAAATCCCATTCACTAACTTTGCACCCTCTCAAAATCTAATAAACTAATGGGACCATTAACGCCTAAGTGAGAGAAATAGCCCTAAAATTTTTCCAAAGGAAAATACATATTCTGTCATCCGCCAATCCTATAATTCTTTATAAATAAAGCATTTTCCATGAAACCCTTTGTTTTCAATAGAAACGGGTCTTAAAAACTAAAAAGACCAACATACCAATGTTTTCAATCTGTTGTTGACCCGATCGGTCGAACTGTTTGAACCGTCACCCGACTAGAATTATAAGTCTGGTTCAGTCAAGACCGTCAGACAGTAAAAAACCGTTGACTTGGTCAAGAACAGCTCGACCTACCAGTTCGACGATTGACCCGTTTGACCCGATGACCGGGTCACTAGTTGCACACTGAATACATACAAACTTTCAGAGGACATAATTTTGCACTCCGATGTCTGATTAGGGTGATTTTTTTTAATTTTGCATTCTAAGGCACCATAGGTGCCTTACCCCACTATTTTTGTGAAAAAAAATCATTTTTTTGCTTCAAATTACAACTTTTAATATTTTATAAATAAAAAATTAAAAACTAAATAAAAAACATATATTAAATATAAAATAATACATATAATATATCTAACACAATTTATACATTATTTATTGCTAATATATATATATATATATTTGACCCGACTAGTCGAACCGGTGGCCCGCGACCAGAGGCAAAAACGATTCGACCTCCGGGTCGGTTTTTAAAACATTGCAAGATATTCGGTTCAGCCACTTCAGCCGTTATCTAACGGAACCGTTGGAGGTTTTGAGTTTTGGGATGAGAGGGCTCTCGCTTGATCGTCACCCTTACGATAACCTGATCCATATGGGTCCCAAGCCCATGTCAGCGTAAGGTCAACAAATCCAGCAGTGATAGCGTATAGACAAACACGAAGAAATATCAGCTACGCCTAAGGACGTATTTGAGCAGTTGAGCTAAAACAGTAAGACCTCTGATCTCGGTCCTTGATGTGCTGATGTAGCCAGGGCCACATAATACATCAATGGTCATGATTTCAGGGTTTTAGCCTAAGGCTACGTCCACGTGCTAGCTGATTTGGTCCTGCAGCTAACGAGGACTATAAATACGAAACCCTCTCCCGCCTTTCGTTGTTGTATGTTTCTTTAATTTTTTTCTATTATTTATTTATTTCTTTTCTGGAGTACTGTCAGTTACAGTGAAGAAAAGCAGTTTAGTGACTGTAACGAAAAACCCTAAACTGCTTTTTCGGGGAGCCTTTAATGACCATGTGTTGGTTTTCATGCTCCAAATGCTCTGCGTCGTGGCCATTAATGGCGGAAATGCAGGAGTCCTCCTTGCTTCTCCTCCAATTCTTTTAAATTTTATAGTCCCCCTGCTTCTCTCCGCCTTCACATGGCAGGTGTCCCTGTTTATCCGGAAAAATATATATATATATTTTCCCTTGCCTTCTAACGCAGTTCCAATGATTATTCAAACATAGATTCCTGATTTCTCAAGCAAAACCAGGTCAGAGATTTCTTCTTCGGTCTTTAGCTACCGTTCTCAAATTCAGAGAATGTGTCGGTTTTCTGTCTTTGTTCATTTCTTTTCTCCATTTTCAAGTTCTAAACTACAAGTCTTGGTTCTCTGTCATTGATTTTAAAATCAGTGAACTCCGGTGAACAGAGTTCTCCTTTGATGAGATCGGGGGGAAGACGGTGAGGGTTTCATTTTACAGCGCTCAGTTCTCTAGGAAGCAAGAAGTTCTTCCTCAAGTTCTCGACTCGCCACTCCGGGGAGGAGAAAAGAAAAGCAAAAGGTAAAAGAACAAAAAGAACCTGATTCTTGGTGAAGCTCAGTCTTTTTTGACCGAAACTGCCGATTTAAGTGTGCGAGCTCGACCTTTAAGGGAAGTTTCTCCGAAACGGCTCGACTTTTAAGTTTTAACAGCGAAAGTCGAAATAGTGAAATATCTTGTTTTGTTTCTACATCATTTTCTTTTCTTCGTCTAAAACTCCGTAGATGTGCCGGGAAGAGTGCTACATCTGCCGCCGATATTCGCAGGAGGAGCTCGTTTTTTAACGGTGTTCTTAATTAACTGTTCGACTTTTAGCTCGTGAGCAACTCAATGGACGCTCGGCTCATTTTCTATTTCATCCTGTTGTTCGGATTGCTTTTCTGGCCAGGGGCCGCGGATCCAGTAGAAGATAAACAAGCTTTGCTCGATTTCGTCAACAGCATACCTCATTCGCGCTATCTCAACTGGAACCAGACCTGTCCCGTCTGTGACTGCTGGACGGGAGTGACCTGTAACTCCGATAAAACTCGAATAATAGCCGTTCGTTTGCCCGGAGTTGGATTTCAAGGCCGAATTCCTCCAAACACTCTCAGTCGCCTCTCCGCTCTTCAGATTTTAAGTCTCAGATCCAACGGTCTAACTGGTCCTTTCCCTTCTGATTTCGCCAATCTCAGAAACCTCTCTTTCCTCTATCTGCAGTTTAACAAATTCTACGGTCCGTTGCCATCGGATTTCTCAGTTTGGAGAAACCTCACCATCATCAACCTCTCCTTCAACGCGTTTAATGGCAGCATTCCTTCGTCCCTCTCGAATTTGACTCAGCTGACCGCTCTAAACCTCGCTAATAACTCACTTTCCGGTGAAATCCCAGATCTTCAACTTCCAAATCTGCAGCAACTAAACCTAGCCAACAACAGTCTCGTAGGAACTGTCCCGAAATCTCTTCAGAAGTTTCCGAATTTGGCATTCTCTGGTAACAGTGTTTCTTTTCCTAATTCTCCTCCTCCGATTATTGCTGTCAGTCCACCTTCTCCTCAACCGTTTCATGGGTCGAGAAACGTTAAGAAGCTTGGCGAGTCAACCCTTCTGGGGATCATAATAGGCGGCTGCGTTCTGGGGTTTTTGTCTATTGCTACCCTACTAATTCTTTTCTGCTCAAAAAGGGAAGGCGATGATGGATTTGTGGGGAAGTCACAAAAGGGTGAAAGGTCTCCAGAGAAAGCGGTTCAAGGGAACCAAGACAGGAATAACAGGCTTGTTTTCTTCGAAGGTTGTAATTATGCATTCGATTTGGAAGATTTGTTGAGGGCTTCTGCGGAGGTGCTGGGGAAGGGGACGTTCGGCACATCATATAAGGCGGTCCTGGAGGATGCAATCACTGTAGTGGTGAAGAGATTGAAGGAGCTGAGTGTGGGGAAGAAGGAGTTTGAGCAGCAGATGGAGTTGGTTGGGAGTATTAGGCATGAGAATGTGGCTGAGCTAAGGGCTTATTACTTTTCCAAGGATGAGAAGCTTATGGTGTATGACTATTACACTCAGGGGAGCGTCTCAGCATTGTTACATGGTATGCTGTACTTTTTTCTCAACCTGTCATTTCTGTTACTTTTTGTTCAGATAATTAGTCAATTTTTTCTCCCTGAGAAACCATCAACTAAGAATCTAACTTGTCGTTATTTCCTTCCTAATGGTTGGTCCATTCTTGATGCATGGCATTCTTACAATTCTCCATCAGTTTCTAAGTTGGTCTGTATCGTAGCTTTTTATTTGTTTTTTTTTCCCACATTTTAGTCAAGTATAATATTTGTTCTGTTCTTTATTTATAGAACCCATACTTTTAATGGGTATATGCTAATTAAAATTCTAGTTTCTCTGAATATGGAGGAAATACCAGAAACACAAGTCCAGAAACATCTAAGACTCACTCTCTTGGTGTTTATTATCACCAGACATAAGGCCCCATTTGGTTTGAGGGAATAGGGGTCTGGAATTGGAATGGGAATGGATTATTTTGATTCCAACTGTTTAGTTGGGCGGAATTGGAATTCCATTCCTATTCCTGCTGAAATGGCATTCCCCCATTTGAGGGAATGGCCATTCCCTGCCCCTCCATTGGGAATGAAATCCCATTCCTGTTGATTCTAATTCCCATTCCCATTCCTGTCTGAACCATACAGACCATGGGAATTGACCATTTTGATTCCTATTCTGACTGAAACAAACGGAAGTTCATTGAACATTGAAGCAATAACACATCAGAATTGCAGGAAATGATCTAGTATTTAGATAAAGATCCTCAAACAAGAAAGAAACAAATGGACGAGATTCTCTGAAATTTTGACATGAGAATGGAGTCAACCCCCAACTAGGATGCAAATGGGTTAACTAGGTTCCTTGCATGACAAAGGGTACATAACACACCTCTCTCTCCTCCTGCTTCACCATTGATCATGTCTTTCCTTGAGTTATTTCTGATTATGAGCTTAACATTTAGACTTTTGACCAACTTTAACCTTGAAGAATAGAAAGATCTTCAACTTAGTCGAAGACATACTTTAAATGTAGCGAACCCCCTAAATAGACAAGAATTACACATCTCTTGTGATTTCATAAAGAAAGCATGTGTGCCTTTTAACTCATAAACTAGTTCAGCATTATTTCAAATTCCACTGAAAGTTGTCTGCAACTTTGAGTGAATGCCAAAGCGGAGATCAGCACTTTGTAGGTTCTTAAAACATTGATGAAACAATTAAAACAAAGCACCCCTAGAATTCCTGTTCTTTATTTTCCAAATATCCAAAATGACACAAAAGTGCCGGATACAACGCCCATTCTGTTTCCCCAAATAACCAAATGCTATGCAGGTACCAGAAAAATTGACAGAAAAATAAATGCCGAAAAAAAAAATAGTTGACTTTGATCAATGTGATTCTATACCTCGTAAGAAGATGTCTCTTCTTCCACATGGCCAATCTTGTATTGAACTACTCTACCGTCAGATACAAAAAGGTATTTACCAAATGTTGGTCCCAGGCTCTCAGCCATTCGGGGCCTTGATAGGAAGCAAGAGGGTAATGTTTTGGGCGTTTTTTTTGATGAATAATGTTTTGGGCCATTTCTATTAATCCAAAAAAAATACCCTGAACCATTTCTCTCCAAATAATAAACAACATTATTCAAGTTCACCATGGGGAGCAAAAGAATAAAACATTTTAAATAACACATTTGGTTGATATCACAAAGTGCTCTCTCAGACAAGAACATTCTAATCTTGTGCGTTCGAGGAGAACATTGATCATAAATTTGCAGAAAAGCACTTTAGCAATGGCCGTTTGATTGATGAAATTTTTGGAATTTGGCATTCCTAGGTATAAACAGACTAATCTTTCACCAATTCAACCTTTTTACAATTCAAGTAAAAGGCAGGGACGTTGTGTTCTTTGTTTATCACCATTCACCAGTCAACTGAACACCCAGTACCCACAAGTCAGTAATCCCAACTTTTTTTTTTGTTTTTTTGGTATCTGAACAATTTTGGTTTATCCTCTCAGATTAATCCAAGTAGCAATACAATCATACCTTTAATTATGGAGAATATAATTATTTATCTCATTTTATATAGTTACAATAAATTCAAAATTCCTTTATAGAGACAGATTATTCTAAATATAATATCAGGGAAAGAAATATGCGTCACTGATCTGGTGTCTCATCCTGAATTAGCGTATATTCCATTTCAGTTCAAATTGGGGAAATATTTTTATTTGCTTTATCATGCTTACAATTCCGAAACAAAGTTGATCGTAGTTAACAAATTGTACTTTTTTAGCCCATTTGGTAGTGGCACAGGAAGTAAGTTGACTCTGGCAGAGAGAAGGGAATTTGAGCACTACCACGATGGGGGAGATGTGCCATGTAGGAGGAGCCCATCTTGGATGTCTTTTAGGTCAAAATGCAACCGGATATATAATAGTGAATGAATGCATTTTAGTCTTCTAGAAGTTTGATCATAAATATCTCCTAGAAAGAATCCCAAGTGGACCCTCCTATTAAATGGAGGGTCTTGAGTCTTTCAGTTTAGCGGGGGGTTTACTTGTTAAAAAGGCTCAAGTGTCCACTAATGCTTGCTTTCGTTTATGTGCAGGTAGAAGAGGGGAGGAAAGGGTTCCTCTGGATTGGGATACCCGACTGAGAATCGCGATTGGTGCAGCAAGAGGCATTGCCTACATCCATGCAGAGAGCGGTGGAAAACTTGTCCACGGGAACATAAAATCATCCAACATCTTCCTTAATTCTCAAAATTATGGATGTGTATCTGATCTCGGCCTAGCAGCACTAATGAGCCCAGTGGCCCCACCTATCTCCCGTGCTGCAGGGTACAGAGCGCCTGAAGTGCTTGATACCAGGAAGGCAACCCAAGCATCCGATGTCTATAGCTATGGAGTGTTGTTGCTTGAACTTCTTACTGGCAAGTCTCCTGTACATGCTACAGGTGGTGACGAGGTGGTTCACCTGGTCAGGTGGGTTCACTCTGTAGTCCGGGAAGAGTGGACAGCAGAAGTGTTTGATGTGGAGCTGATGAGGTATCCTAACATAGAGGAAGAGATGGTAGGGATGCTACAGATAGCAATGGCCTGCGTGGTCAGGATGCCGGAGCAGAGGCCGAAGATGCCTGATGTGGTTAAGATGCTTGAGGACATAAGACGGCTTGACACCGGAGACCGTCAGTCGACGGAAACAAAATCAGAAAGTTCAACACCAACACCACAACAATTACCTCGCGCGGGTGGAGGGATGGAATCCAGTTCCGTTCAACAGTGAGCCCACCATAGTCTTCAACCATTTGTTCAAGTCAGTTTGTGATGTATTTTTTATCTTGGTAATTTTTTTTTTTTTTTAATTCTTCTTTGTCGAAGTTGCCCATACCTCAATTTGTCTCTTTGTTGTTTTACGTTTTCATTTGTTTGTTTTCTTTGATAAAATTCGTCATTCGTGACTAGTTTTATCAACCCGATGTCAAGTCAGCTAGGGCATATTCCATGATTGATCCATTGGACGGTGTCAACTTGCTCGGTTGTAAGTTTCAGGTCTCTCTCTGGCTGGTTGTAGCGGAGACTTTTCATATCCCGCTGTTACCAGGATTTAGGGGTTCTGGGAAAGGGGACGAGCTACCCCCGTTGTGTAGCCCCCATGAACCCAAGAAAATGATTGATCATTCATTTCAAATGTCGCCTTTGGACAATCGGACCCGACTCTGAAACAAGTTAGTAGTTTTCATTTTTTCTTTTTTCCGAGTATATAACCCTTAATAATGTGGAAACAGAAAATATGGATTCTGTGTGAAGTGTGAACAACACACCCAGCTGAAACAGGGATTTACATTGAGTTCGACTTTAAATGGCTATACTATAACAATGAAACAGAGAACTGTAATGGAAATATATTGGATTGGATTGGATTGGATTGGATTGAATCAATATTCGATCCATTGATAGAAGATAAGAATACAGGCGTCAATGGACAATTTGGGTTGGAACCAATCTAAAGTAAAATTAATTTGAATTGGATTCATCCAGAAGTATTCATTGGATTGGATTAGTTCTGGTCCATCTGTAATAGACTCATATTGGATTGGACCAATACGGTCCAATTGTCACCCCTAGTCAGATGGCTCTGAGAGAATTTCGTCAAGGGCAAGAAAAAGAATGGGAAAGTTGCCGAAGCAGAAGGATGATAGCCTGGAATGCAGAAGACGCTTATAATTCAATCGAGGCTTGCGTGATGATGGCAAAAACACTCATGGCAGAAAACTCAAACAATAGAAATCACATAGAATTGTAACGAGATGGTGGGAGAGTTCATTCCATAGCGTGACCATGTGAGTACATAGATTGCCAATACGAAACCGCCTCATCTAGTGCTTAGGTTGCAAAGTGTTTAATAAAGGTCGTTTGGGCACTAGGTTCGGATCTGCTGACCACGATACATTGCTGGCCATGCACATCCTGCTGCATATCAGGAATATTGGTTGTATTTTAAAATACCGATATTCCCGATGTATAGCTGGATGCGTATAGTCAGTAATGTATCATGGTAAGCAAATCCAGACGGACAATCTACTACTCAGTAGTCTGTGTACTGATGGGACCTCTATATTGCCAGCGTAGAGAATACTCGCGTATTCACTTGGATGGATTACATAGCAAGTAATACACAGACAAGAGAGGGCCTATATGCCAGCATACAAAACACTGGCATGTTCTTTTGTGATGGATTACATAACAAGTTATACACAGCCAAGTAAGCAGCAGATCTGGGTTCCAATTTGGGAGGGTTCAACTTCACATCCAAGTGTTTTGATTCAGCTGTTTTAAAGAAGTTACTGGAATGATCTTGTGCAACACAGCTTGTACATTTGTAAAACTGTATAAATGGCTATATGATGATCAATCTGGGTGGATTCGACTTCACAAAGCCAATAGCCACAGCATGAAAGCCCTCCCAAGTGGAGGCCTGTTTGGGAGTGCTGAGCTTAAATAAGAATTGGTTAAACTGGTTCAACAGTTTCAAAGAAGTTGCTTTAACATAGTTGCATGAAGGGAAGATTTCACTTTAGTACCCTGAATTTTGGGTGTAGTGTCAAGTTAGAATCTGAACTTTCAAACATGACTGTAGTACCCAAACTTTCAAAAAGTGTCAAGTTGGTCCCTGCCATTAACCGACTGTCAGTTATCTGATCATGTGATGACATGTATAACTTAAAATTTTTGAAAATCCCAAAACTACCTTCAAAAGAAGACATTCATTGTCTTCTACCTTGAGGCTGAACCGGTTGGAAAAATTTTTGCTGCCCATTGTGGGCAGGAATTCCTACCCAGAACGCACAGCGTGCTGACACGTTGTCAAGCTCACTTTCATATGTTAAGTTATTTTATTCACTTTTCTATTTGTATTTTTAATATAAGAAAATTTTTAAATTTTTAATACATCACCCTGCCCCTCTTCTCCTTCTACACAAACCTCAATTATATTTTCAATAGAAAACCCGCTGGCAACCTTAGAGAAACCACAAAACTCACCAATGTCCTCTGAAAAATTCACCAATGATTTCATGCCTTTTATTGCTAATAACAAATCCAGACTTATTATCCTCTCATCCTGACGCTTTGGTGTCTATATTTCTTTAATCTCTCAATCCAGAAAACCAGGTTTCTTGAAAAGCATCTCTTTTTTTTTTGTTCCAATTTTTATTGGGAGTCAAGACCTTGAATCAATTTCATTCTAGAGATCGTGATTTCTTAGCTGAGGATTCATCAGTATTGGAAAGCACGTAGATTCCTTCCCTGCAATAGCATTGAACCCGTTATTCAACCTCTCTCTTTTTCTGTGGACATGGTTCTGCAACTTATCTTTTTATTGAAGACTATTAATATGGTTTGGGGGTTAAGGGGATGGTCTACCGCCATGAAGCCAAGAAGAAAACATCTTGTTTTTTATTTGCTATGAAATTCAATGTCATTTATCTCTTCAATGTGATGGTTCTATCAGAACTACAGTTGCTGGAGACACTGATTATCAATTGAGGTGCTTTAGTATATGTTTGGCATCCATGCTGCAGATGCAGCACAGTACTGCTGATGTGTGGGTTGGAAGCACCATTTTCTGAAAGAATGGCGAGTTTTTTTTTGTTTGGAAACGTTGCTACCAGATAGGGCGTTTCCTTGGGCAATAACAACATTTTCTGTTTGGTATCAACAATGTTCTAAGAAACGTTTTCAGCGTTGGTACCCATTATCCAGTGCCATGTCACTGCCACCTCACATCCATGTTAGCAGTAACGAGCTGCAGCTCCAGGAAACATCAAATTTGGCGTTGCTCCAAGCCATGCCTTTCCAATTTTCAAGGCGTGACTTGAAGCACCGTTTTTTATGGTAAAATGGTTCCAAACAAACACCTGTTTCCTAGAGCACCGTTTTTTCCTACATGACACTTATGTGGTACCATTTTCTAAAGCAACAACAACAGTTCCAAACAAATGGAGCATGGGGTTTCGCTGTTTCAGAACATATATTCTTTATTCCTGCTTCAAAGTGTGAAAATTGCTCTCATCATCTTCTCGGATAATTGGTCAAGCATCTATTGCCAATTTTCCTGATCTCTTTAATCAGACTCGGTCTTGCATCTATTGTCAGCTTATGCTCCTATTCAATGGAGCCAAGTTGATATCCAGACGGATTGGTCAAGCACCATGCATCTATTCCATGACACATTCATATTGCTACCATCTGAATTTGTAGTTCCAAAATAGTATCTTTAATGTTAACCAACGCAGAGCTGGTTGCCACACCGAATTGTATAATTCCGTTATTTTCATTGAATGAAAATTTTCTAAGCCATTTTAATAGGAAATAGAATTGGGGGAGCACACAAATAGAGGAAATCAAAGGTTCAAAACAGAACTCAGTAGCGCATGCAATCAGTATTTTTCTTTTCTATGTTCTTTTTTATCGACAACCAGAATAACTACAACTATTCTAGAAGAAAATTAGGGACTGCACCATATTTGAATTTTCCCCAAAAACTCGCCCGAATCGTCTACTACAACTGCACTTCCAGAACTCGTCATAACCAGCTTGATATCAAAGGTGGTTACTGGTTAGAGATTGGAGGCCAATTATAAGATGATAGGTGAAGGGCATTTTTATTTTTTTATATGATACTTAACGTTGGTTGACGATTTTGGATCAACTTGACACTTTTTGAAAGTATGGGTACTACAGTGACACGTTTGAAAGTTCCGGTACTAATTAGACACTACCCCCAAAGTTCAAGGTATTAAAGTAGAATTTTCCCTTGCATATAGGGGTGCAACTTCGGCGGGCCCAACCCAAGAACTCGGAATTTTACGGGGCTAGGCTCGAGCCCAAGAAGTCGGGTTTTTTTAATTTTCGGGATGGGCTCAGGCCTAGCCCTTAGGTAGCCCGAACCCGGCCCGAGCCCAGTCTAATTATATACATTTATACATATATGTGTATATATGTAAATGTTGCATACATATTTACATATATATACATACATAAACATATGTATATATTTGCATAAATGCATTTATATATGTATAATTTTAGAGTGGGTTCATTGACCAACCTGAGCCCGGCCCGAGCCTGAGCCCAACCCAAGTACATCAAATTATAGGGCGGGCTAGGCTCAGGTTGGGAAAATTGGGCTTGACCTCGGGCACGGGCCTTGAGCCCAAATTTTAGGGTCAGGCCTGGTTTGACCATAAACCCGGCCCAGCCCTCTCGACTTGCACCCCAAATTGCATAAATAATATAAAATATATTTGTTGACAATTAACTTAGCCATAAGTCAAGGTAATGTTTAAAGTATCGATATAATACTATTGATACAAGCATATCATATCCATATCCATGGCCATGGGTATAAGATACACCACGATTGGGTATGTATCCCATAAGTCGTCCATTATGCTTCTATGCCAGGCTATATCGCAACCATATTGGTGGATACAGTCCAATACGTATTGATACATAAGTGTATTGGTTTGATAAAATTGTATATTGACCACTTTTGGATTGTTTTTTGAACTTTAATAAATATTAAAAACTATAATTATAAAAGCTAAAATATATTTATAGTTATACGAATCAAAATAAATAATTTAGGATTTAATTTTCCCCAAAATTTCAATAAGAACTTAAAATTATTTTGTCTACTTTAAATGATTTGTATGTTTAATTTTAAAATTATATTTAAAATAAAACAATTATATGCTAAAAATGAAAACATATTTATATTTGAAAAAAATAGAGTTATTATTTGTATGAAAATACAAAATAAATAAAATTTTCCAAATTTTTAATAAAAATTGAAAACTATATGTGATAATTATTGTACAATGTGCACATGCTTTAGAGTCTTGGTATTGTTGATTGCAAAGTTTATCTTCATATAACCTATTAAATTGTGCATTTCTCATGTGTTTATACGTTATTCATAGATAATTCAGTTTTAGATTTAGTGTCATTAATGTATTTATGTGATTTGTATGCATTTCCCTAGTGT